AGGGCTTTTGGTTAATATATGTACTTTTTAATCGTTTCGGTTGGTTTAAAATAGCATAATTGAACTGAATATTGCATTTTTTTTGTTTTAGTATTAGTTTGAATATTTTACATTGGAGCAAACAACAAAGTTGTGAAACTTGCTGCCCAAAACATGGTGCAGCTGCTAAAATGTCCTTATGAATCTCTAAATCGGCACACATAACATAAAACTGGGCAACAAGAAATTAATACAAACAAGAGGTGTTTCTATAATCTCAACGTAATTGGTCCTCTTTATATTTGCTTCACTATCACACTTGTTATCTATCTTGTGAGTTTGGTCTTTCTGGTTGCTCTAACAACTTTTGCTTCCACGTGGAGATGTTTGTTGCAGTTGTTGGGATATCAATCCAAATCCCATATCAGAAGTTTAGACAAGAATTGTCTAATATATAAGAGATGTCCAACTCTAATTAGTATGAAACCTTTTGGGAAGTAGCCCACGAACAAATCCGTGCGGGCTTTGCCACTTGGGCCCAAAGCAGACAATATCATACTAATGGGAATAGTTGGACATGAGTTTGAAAAACCCCACAATTGGTATCAGAGCTTAGGTTCAGAAAAAGTGGACTAGGAGAAGTAGGTGTGGGGTGCAAATTCGTTGTGGGAGGAGAGCCCTCAAGGTGACCTCGAGATTAAGGGAGGCCGGTGCCTTGTGTCGAAAGTCTTCCTAACTAACCGGAAGGTTAGGCGACGGGTTCCGTTGGTGATTACGGCGGTACAAGATGGGTGCCAGGATTCGCAGGAGGTTGGAGCCCACGAGTTGGTGTGGTTCTTAGTTTGAGGGGAAGATTGTTATGATATCAATCCAAATCCCACATCGGAAGTTTAGAAAAAAATTGTCTAGTATATAAGAGATGTCCAACTCTAATTAGTATGAGGCCTTATTGGGAAGGAGCCCAAAAACAAATCTGTGCGGACTCTGCCTCTAGGCCAAAAGCAGACAATATCATAGTAATGGGAAGAGTTGGACATGAGCTTAAAAAGCCCCACGGCAATGCTTGTTGATAACAAATAACACAAAGGTTGACAATAATTTATATTTTAGTCTCTTTAGACTTCCAATTTGAAAAGTTTCATATGTATCTCAGATTAGATACAACAATATACTCATGTAAATATATCCAGCAGCTGGAAACTTTGTCACGCGTTTAATACCTCACAAGGCTACACAGTCAGCATGAAACTTACTTGAATAAATGGCAATTGAAAGTTTTGAGAAAATTAAGCTGATTAGCAGAATTAATATCATATGATAGACCCCAAGATTCTACCATAACCACTTAGATATTGCTCGACTACATCTTTCACTTAAATTTAAATAAATTTATATTTCATCAAAACTGGTCAACCGACAGTACTGCAATTGTGCAAGAGATCAATATACTCCACTCAATTCGGCTTAGTTCCAGTAATCTCTTAAAAGAGATCAACAGACAGTAGATGGAGATAAAGAAAAGGCTTTATGTGATGTCAAAATCAAGTGCACGATGTTCTTTGCAAGCCCATGAAACACTTTTGGACAAGTACAAAGTTAACGAACTATACAAATTGACGCAACTAAAAGGTAGTCCACGGATTATGCAATTGTATGAATTCTTGTTAAACCAAATCAGAAGCAACTGCCAGTCCAAAACCATAAGCCTGCACATCAAACAATACAAAAGTAACAAAGTAATAAAGCAACGGAAGATAGTAGAATACTAATTGATTTACTCCCAAGAAATCTTCTTGAGTTAACCAAAACCAGAGTTGAGACGTAAACAGGGGAAAAAAGTAACAGGTAGATTACGTAAAGAGAAGCTAACAATGTCACAAATCCTGTTTTGTTGTTTCAGTCTCTGCCTCTGAAAAACGAAATGTCCAACTACATGTTTTTACAACTTTGGACATCAGATACCATAGGCATTGTTTCTTCACACCATTATAAGAAAATATATCTATAATTTGCAATCTCAGCCGAAAGATGGTGATCTATTGATTAATAATCACTGTTTAATCATTGGATTTGGACAAAATTTTTATCATTGATTGCAGAGACCAAATAAACAAGTAAGATTGAAAACAAAAATAGTTGGAGAAGAAAAAAAAGTGGTCAGATGGTAGTGCATTAGTCTTAGAATCAGCACTATTTCTCAGATTTGCATACATATGGATATTCTATCCTCACTCCTCTTTACAAATATCAAAATAGAAATTGAAAAAAGAAAAATCAGAGGATGGCAAATCAATCACTATGATCAGAAGGTATCACAAAATAATCTCATCTTCGAGATAACAAAAGAATTAGTGTGTGAGTTTGTGTGTGCGTCAGAGAGTGTTCGATATAAGAATGAACAAGTTTGGTGTGATGATTGGTGATGATGATTCAGACTTATTCATTCTTATATCAAAGACTCTCAGACACAAACTACGACTCAGATCTTGATCAAATGTATATATCTATGAATCATCAAGTTATGGTGTGATGATTGGTGATGATGATTCGTCAAGTTTTGCTATGCATTGAAAATCTTAATACAAATTGACGCAGCTAAAGCTAGTCAAGGAATTTTCAAGCAATTATATGAATTCTTGTTAATAAGAAGAAAAATCCATATGAAAATCTACTGCCATCAAACAATACAAAAGGAACAAAGTACTATATAGCAACGAAGAACATAGAATACAATCTTGATTACTTTTATAACTCAAAAGGCAACAACCCAAATCAAAACTTCAAATCAGTACAATGAGGCAATCCAAATATTTCTAAGAGAGAGTTTACTCTAGAGCTCCAAACAAATTACCCTAAAAGCCAGAGAGGTAAACAGGGCAAAAAAAGTAACAGGTAGCTTATGTAATGAGAAGCTAACAGTGTCGCAAATCCTGTTTTGTTGGTTTCAGTTTCTGCCTCTGAAAAGCGAAATGTCCAACTACATATATTTTTTATTACCTTTGGACATCACTCCTCTTTTCAAGAACAAG